CCTAGCAACTTCCTTTCAATACAGTTCAGAAGAAACTTCCCAAGGCCATTTTTGCAGTTTTTGGTGTAGCTTCTCCTGGTGTGACTCATGCTATCCAATGCTGGAGACCAGACAACGCATACCACAGAGCACTAGTCTGGCCTGGTAAGCCAAAGTCAGTGTTCCTGTGCTTTTCTTTCCTAAGTTGTGTTTACAGTTTGCAGGTATAACGTTTTTAAGCAGCAGTTTAAATAACACCAATTTCTGCCTAGCCAGTTATCAGCTGAGTATCACAGGCACTGCATTAGAAGCGAAACTTTTAGATGCAAAATAAAGAGCGGCATCTATAAATTTGGTAAGAGGTGATCAATCACAGAGCAGCAATGCAGAAGGGGCTTGTGGAGAGGTGACAAGCTGGAAAATATGATTGGAATTATTGGCAAACAAAGGGGTCTGATGATAGGATAAAATGAGAGATCACATTCGGTAAGGATTCATACATGAACAATATATTATATCTTACAAACGAAGCCCTGCGTCTTTTTCATTGCTGAAATTCTTGTAGCTGTAAAAATATTTATTAGCTCAAGTCAAATTCAGATGTAACTTAATCTGTGTAATTCCACTGAGGTTTCCTCTATTTCAGTATCTGCTACACCACTAATATGTATCAGCCAACTGGAAAAGTAGCCTTTTGAGCTCTATTCCACAATCACAGTAACAAGAAAGCTCAAATGTCAGTCTATCTAAATAATGAGCTTTTTGATTAAAGGAGTTTCTCACTGACAACAAGACAGCAGATCTTAAAAGCATGTTACAGTTTTAGTAGCATGCAGTAGCAAGATGTCATGAGCATTCACCGACTCAGTGCAACTGGACCACAATACAGACAAATCAAAGTATTTTATGAAAATTATTAGCATGAGAAAATGTCCAAACCAGCTTCAGTGGGGGTATATTGCCACCACTGGTATAAGCATGCTTCTCCAAGAGGCATTAAGGCATATCTAAAAACGGATGTAAGCAGATAAAGACGGATAACTTCCACTACACTGAGAAATGGTTTTAAATGTTCAGTTTCTTATAGAAAAAAAAGTATCCATTTATTTGTCTGTACTGGATGTTGGACAGATTCATATCTGCTTTGAAGATGCAGGTCCGTAGGACAGAAAAGTAAAACTATGCAAACTGACTCATAACAAAGAGCTTTTCATAGTCACTCAAGTCAAATCCAGGCACCAAAGCAGTGTGGGGCAGTTGGTACTGCTGCTGCACCTGCTGCAGACAGCCAGCTAGAGTGACAAGGCAGGTACTTCCCAATATCTGAATTCACACAGGTTGGTTACTTCACAAAGACTTAAAGGATAAGCATTGCATGCAAAAAAAAATCGAAAGCTTCGTCAAGGAAAGAGAGAGATACAGAAGTTGTGTCTGGTTTTAGCGTTGGGGTTTTTTTCCCATTACCATTTCTTCCTGGTTTTCAAAAATGACTAGCAAGGATTCATTCTTAGTGCAGAAGATCTGACTAGATGTCCAGTTTTTTTCCTCCTCTGAGATGAAATAGCATTTGTTTTTGTATCCTATCCACTCACTGGGACACTGTTCAGAAGGAAATTTTCCGTGGTGAGATGTCTCATGTTTTAGAGCTACAAAGGAAAAGAGAGAATAAAATTTCTACCTGGTAAATTCTTAGCATTCATCAGAGTAATTCAATCTAAAACGTAGTTTTTTGAAAGCCAATGCCACACTAGATGCCAGAAGAGAAGCCAAGGAAGGGCAACGGTCCTAACCTTCCCTGCCATTCAGGCATGTTTTCAGATAAGAAATGTGAGAGTTGGGGGCTGCAGCCTAATTATTACAATCAGTAAAAAATAAGTAGGGTTTGGAAAACACTCCTGAATTTTACAGAATTAGAGGCATTGACAATAGATGATTTATACTCAACACTTTTTAAATCCAGTAATAGGGTAACAAACTTCATACTATTAATTTCTTGATCAAATTAATTTTAAGTAATGAAGCTGCTTGAGTATCTACAACTGCTGAGATACTTCATCAAGACAAGTTGCTTTGGTTTTGTATCAGACTTTTAATTGTTTAATAAATCTGTGTGAAGGTAAGTAAATTAGGTGTTGATATGATGCTAATTAAATTTGTCTGTTAATGAAGAGGTAAAAATCCCTATTGTTTGGAGAATGTTTCATTAGAGTTGTTCCCCAGCATGTTTTGATGCCCTCTTTTCATCTTCTTACTGTCACAGTAGCTCTTATGCGCGTGACAAGACTCACTGGCATGTTTTATTTCAGTGCTGAGTTTAATTTATTGTAATGAAGAGAATTAATTTGCATTTACTTTGATTTCTGTTTTCCAAACAAAAATAATCTGCCCTGATCGTCACTGAATGGTTACAGTGACCTTTTCTGTGCAGCATGGTGTCTTTTGTTACACACCCAGGCTCACACAGTGTATAAAGTGTATTTCCTGGGTCATCCTGCTGGGATCAACCCCAAACTTTCTGCACCCAAAGTGCATTTATCCACTGCTTAAGCTTGGAGATGGCTAATATTGAAATGAAAGTAACTGGACGTTACGTGAGTAGAAGGGCTTCCAGAAAGTGAATTGCTCTCCTGGACTCTGCAGCCTTCTGTTGCCATGCTTGCTCTCTTTTCCCTTGTAAACAGCTACTCTGCTATATATAATTGGAGACCCCTTAGCAAGTCACTTGTGAGCACTGCCCTCCCCCCCTCCAAGAAAATGTGACTGATTTCATTTAAATAAAAGCCTAAGATAAGAAAGGAAAATCAACGGGGACAGATGTCACTATCGTCCTCCATTCATTTCTATGTATGTGCAAAGGACCCCACTACTGTACCTCATGCTGTTGCAGAGGGCAGACTGAAGATATATTTAAGGCAGAGATACAAGAGTTCCCTGTGCAGATGGGCTGTGGAGGCTCCATTGAGATACATGTGCACCCAGTGACTTGGATACCTCAGGTAATACTGCTGGCAGCACAGCCTTTGCTCCTATAGAAGAGTTCTGCATGGGACAGCAGGAGCACCTCTGGCCTCTACTGTGCCAGTGCAAAGTAAGGCTGACTTCTTCTTAAAACTACAGTATGTAACACAAACAGATTTTTAAAAACAAAAAGGAAGAATGATTCCTAAAGTCTATTTGTAATAAAGACAAGCTAGCTGTATTATGAAGTTGTCTTCCACATGTGACAATAAAGGACCCCTCAAGACCGGATATATGAACTACCCACACAATAAGCCCCCAGTCTGTGCCTGGAGCTGCGATGCTGACTTAGTGCACTGGCTGGTATAATCAGGTAAGTTACTAGTGATAAGCACAGGCAAGACACCAAATGCATGGCCAGGCAAGAAACTATACTCTTAAGAGCTCTAAGGATGTAGCAAAAACAAACAAACAAAAAAATCAGCTTACAGCTGAATCATCTGGATTTTATCTGTAGGAAGAATTCTCTCTCCTTTAAATTCTATCTGGGGGTTATTCAGCCTTATACCAACATGAAAACAACTGATATAGCAATGGAAGTCCCAGGTTTTGTGACTGTGCAGGCACTGCAGAATACTGATGTCGGTGTGCTTGACTGCCGTGATCCTAGAGCCCAGTAGTCAGAGGAAATATATCTCAAATAGAAAATGTTCCGAAAGCTTACCATATACAAAGGTGAGGATGACCATCAGCACAAATCCAAATGTTAGGCATAACAAACAGACTGTGAAAAAGAAGTTCATAATGGTTTTGTATATATGAACATTTAGGCTCAGACTGTATTTCAGTATTAAGTGACACAGCAGCAGGATAGCCTTTCATTTAAATTCCAAGTATGTAGATACAAAGCACTACTGAAGTCAAACAAGGCACCCTGAATTGACGTTTATGTAACTAGACTGTTCAATAAAATGGCCAACTATTACCTACTTCACATATTTTTAATCCACATACACCCTAAAGTTTTCCACAGATATGCAGATCCCTGTACAGCAAATTTAAGCCTTTTAGTCTCAAGTTTATCATCTCCTCTATGTTTTGCAAACCCCTTAGCAATAACCTCTGGAGGCTACGAACTCGTAGGTCATCCCTTTCTACAAGGGCATGCAGTGATAGGACAAGGGATAATGGCTTTAAACTGAAAGAGGGTAGGTTTAGATTAGATGTAAGGTCTTCACTGTGAGGGTGAAGAGACACTGGAACCGGTTGCCCAGAGAAGCTGTGGATGCCCCATCATTGGAAGCGTACAAGGCCAGGCTGGATGGAGCTTTGAGCAACCTGGTCTAGTGGAAGGTGATCGTGCTCGTGGCAGGGGGGGTTGGAACTGGATGATCTTTAAGGTCCCTTCCAGCCCAAACCATTCTGTGATTCTATGATCACTAACTCAAATCAAGCTACATCCACATTTGGAAAACAGGAGAATGTTCTCATGCAATTCAAACATTGAAGACTGAGGTTCAGAGTCTGGGTGTCATCTTGAATCAAATGTATTTTCTCTTTGTCACAAGCTGTCCTTCACACACAAATTTCAATGCAGATGTGCAAACTCATCTGTTGCAAAAGCACGAACTATTTTCTGTAATGAGGTTCGGCTTCACTTCCTACATCTTATCCAAGAATATTTCATACAGGTAAGCTACCACATGGAAAAATGCTCATTTTCACACAAAAAGATCAAACATAAACAATTCACACTTGGATCAAACAGAACAGTTTTCTTAATTTTTGTGACTACAGCTTTGCCTAGAAATAAACTCGCAAGTTTTGACTTGTCCAAGCCAGGGGACCTGGAACTAGATTTAGAGCTAGACGTCAGACTTCCTGCAGGAAGGTGTCTTACCTAACACCATAGAAAAAAGTCTTACCTTTTGACTGAAGGAACCACTCTTTACAGCACCTCCTTGTCTTCCACACCCATGAACTAGCTGCCACTTCTTGTCTGCCGTCTTGTTGGACATTAGTGGATTCTATCGTCCCAACACGTGCCTGTGCCATCCAGGTGGTCTCAGTGTCCGGTTCATCTTCAGACTCCATCTACAGCTGGTAAACAAAGAAAGAAGCTCTGTTTAATGAGTGCTTCCCCTGCTGTCTGTAAGTGAGTGGAAATAGTAGAAATCCCAAAGCTGCCTTAGTTATTGCCTGTACCTGAGGGTGTGAGGGCAGGGTGGATGGAGAAATGAAGAAACAAACAGAACACAAAGAGCTTTTGCAACATATCTGAGGCTCACCAAAAGGAAAAGGTGGGCCTCTGATATGTTGCACATACCCTCCTTCCCAGGGAGAAGGGCAATGGGGAATGAAGACTGTAATGGAGGGAAAGGGAAGGATAGAGCAGATGTGAACAATGTGATAGGGAAGAGATGGGGCATATCAAGGCAGGAGAGAAATGCCACAAAAACCAGAGCTTTCTGCTTCAGCACTATGTAGCTTGAAGTAGTTTTGTCTGCATGTGAAAAGCTCAGGCAATTTCCCAAGTGAGGATGAACCCGGTCTGCAGAGGGAAGTTCACTGTACCCTTTTGTGCTCACTCCTATGAGTGATGTTTTCCTCACAGTTTTTCTTAAATCCCACTTTCAATGACACAAATTTAACAGAAAAAGTAACCCAGAGAGGGGTATGCAGCTATAAACTTTATTGCATCAGGGCAGAAATGTGAATTCATCTTCATGAGTTAGGTTATAATACGGAAAAAACCCCAAAACACTCTTCTTTAGAAAAGGCTTCAACATCTTTAATTAGTTATTATTAATGTTAATTGGCACATGTCTAAGAGGCTCCCTCAACTCCACAAATTTGTAACAGTAACTAGGTGCCCAAATATCTCTAAGAATTGGACTCCACATGTTCTTGGTCCACCCTACAAAAGCAGAAAGAAACTAAGGCTTAGAATTACGTTCTCCAATAAGGTGCTCTGTCCCCAAAGACTCTTCTGATTACCCCAAGCACATCCCCAAAACACTTTGTCCATTTTAGTGCCTGGATATTCATTGTTTGGTACATGAATGTATATTTGCTCGTGGGTTGCGCCTCTTGCCTCCAGCAAGCCTGCTACGCCTTGTTACTGCACTGAAAAGGCACTGGTTTTGACTCCAGCCACAGAGGAGTTTCTCCCAAACCTTCTCGTCCACACCAGGGAAAAAGCCTATTCCACACCCTTGGCTTTTGGGACTTAACAGTGAGCAACACAGCCCGCTGGGGCTGAGGCGAGCTGCCACTCTCTGCAACACAAGGCTTTTCCTGAAGGCAAATGCTGCCAAAAGCGTTTCAAAGCACGTTTGGAAGACCGAAGAAAGACACGCAGCCTAAAGGCCAGCAACTTTTCACTGAGCCACAAAACCCAGTTCCATTTCCGACAGCTCATTTAGCTAGAGGAGTTTGCTCTCACATTTCCCGACGAACTTTCGCGTTCGGAGGGAACACCAGCAGGAGGGAGCCCCGTCTGCTTTAGGCCACAAGGCAACGGCAGATGAACCGCGGGCATTCAGGCCGCCCCCGCTTTAAACCAGTACATTCTCCTCCTCTTCAGTCCCACCTGCCCCTCGGCTCTTTGGCGGGGAGCGCACACAGGCCTCCGGCCTGAGCCACGCCGGCGGCAGCACCTTACCTCCTCCCGGCGCTGCGAAAAGGAAGTCTCCCGCTTCCCGGGGCTTCCG